GTCTTTGTTCTTTACAGTACTTGTACCAAGAGGCTAGGACCTCTACCATTGCTCTTTCAAGGGATCAGTTTGTATTCCACTTACTGCCTGTCATCTGTCCCAGCAGCCTGACACCTCCCTTTTTTTGGCTTAACTTTTTGTCATTGCTAAAAATGGCATCGTTGACCCTCGTTTTAAAGAGAACCCAGTACTTAAAGACAGTTTCACCTTGAATTACCACTTTGCATGGAAAGGATTAAGGAAAAGAAAGAAGAAAGGAGAGAAGAGGAGAGAAAATGAGAGGAGAGGAGGGGAGGAGAGGAGAGAGGAAGGGAGGAGAGCGGAGAGGAGAGGAGGGCCCACACTCCAGGTTGTTTCCAGGGGTTTCTCACATGCTGCCCGTGCACTGGGACCTCTCACACTAGGAAAGCCTCGGTACCTCTTGGCCAGTAATTGGGCTATTCCAAGCAGCTGCTGACTTTTCCCAGCACTAGAGAATCAGGGAGAAAGGACCATGACAGGTACCAACTCTGCCCATCCAGTGTGGCTGGAGATTCAGCTCCAGCAAGATTCCCAGGAGAAAACAGAGATGAGGTAGCCAGTCCTGGCTCCGTGCACTAAGGATTAGAGGCGGCCCTGCTACAGAGCCTCTAATCCCGGACTGGCCTGGATTCATCATCTGTCGCTGCTCCCGTGGTGTTTGTATTCCTCAAAGAAAACAACCGTTACTTATCACTGTCCTCAGGGCTACCTAAGCTGAGCAAAGGGGCTCAGAAATTTAAACTGGAGACCACAGGACTGAGCCCACCTCCGCGGTTTGAGTGACTACTCTGCCTTTTCCCATTGGTTCTGTCTGACTGCAGTCACTCAGACCAGCGGCAACAGGAGGGAGAGAAGGACAACAGAAAAGGGCGGAGGCTGTGGACATCAAGCCGTAGGGTATACCAAGAAGCTGAGGGCCTTGGTCACTCTGGTGGAGAAATCAGGTCATAAGACGAAGCTCTCAGCTCCTGCACAATGTGCTGGCCTCTCCCACCTCCTTTGGTAGAGCTCCGTTCTGGAAGACAAAGATAAAACTCACCAGAACCCTGTGCTTTGGCCTTGTGGGGAACACACGTGTGCTGGTGCCTCACGTGGACACTGACTTCCGCATGTCCTTCTCCAGGAGGGGAGTCCCTGTGGTGGGAAAGGGCCCTGTCACATAGCTTCCTCTGTGGGGTTCGTTTGAAGGCTCCATAAGCTAAATGGAATGGGGCAGGATGAGCCCTGCTGAATTATTTTCATCTTGTAAGAGATTATTTTTAAATGGAAAACAAAGACTTGTTCATTAAAGAATAAAACTGGAAAATGTACAAAAGGAGAGAAGAATTCCTTACAATTCTGCCATCCTGTTAACTTTTTGGTATGTTCCTTAAGTATTTCTTTGCTACCAAGAGGTTATTTGGCCTTCCATGAGGCTGAAACTGTAACGTGTACGTGTATAATTTTGTGTACTGGTTTTTAATTTGACCTGAAATTGTTAGAGGATTGTAAACATCACTTCTAAATGTCTATGTAGTATATCTTTAGTTCCCATGGCTCTGGCAGTTGAAGGATTCAGTACCTGGCCAGCTGGAGGTCTCAGGATGAATGGGGGGATGAAGTTAGGCCCCGTCCACATCTCACAGGCGATCATCTCACAGGTGGTCATCCATCCAGTGTACTCACTAATTCTCAACCTTTGTCCTTTGTCCCTCCACACATGGGCTGGGCACCACTGCGGTTGCATCCCTCTTTACACTGGGGCATTTAATACTGTCTCCACCTTCCACTGAGGATCGTTAACCACCACCCCCCCACTACTCCAGGGGTGAAGGCCAAATTATTCCCTTCTGTTTGGGCAGCTGAAGAGACCCATTACAGAATCATAAAAAATAGCAGCATTCCTTTGGGCTAGCTTTGCCTCTTGCAAACACCCCGAGTATTACTGTTTTACCCTAGTACTAGCTGTTGAGCATGAGAAAGAACTAGCTAAAGAAAATAGAGCAGGGCTTGCATATCCAGCAAAAGGCCTCAGGGATGTGGTGCTCTCTCTCAACTGCTGCTGTCAGGGCAGAGGGGAGATATAGTCACTGGCTCCCCAGTTTTTCTCTCCCACCTGGGACTAGATTCATGGGCACACATTTGCATAAGGACCCCTGCTTAGTAGGCCCCATGCTTGATTGGCTTAAGGTCCCACTGTCACCATTTTTAAATTCTTGCTAGGTTTTGAACAAGTGTCCCACACTGTCATTTTGTTCTGGGCCTTGCAAGTAGCTGGACCTGCAGTCAGTGTATTTTGAACACACCCTTCCTACAGCAGTTATTTATTTTCCCGTAAGTATGTTATCTACACTTATGATTCATGTTGCATGCTGGGAGGTGTTTTAATGGAAAAACAAAGTTTTGGGTATCAAACAAACCTTGTTTCAAATGACCACATCCTAGCTTTGGCTCTGTAGATAAGGTACTTCATTGCTGAGAGCTTCAGTGGTCTCATCTGTAGAGACAGTGACCTCAAGTTCTTAAAACACGTGAAGGCCAAGAGAACGGGGGAAGCAGGTAGTGTAATGCCTTGCAGATTCACGCTCAGCATTGCCTCCTGTTCCTCCCTCCCTCCTGCACCAAACAGTGCTGGTGTACAGTAGGTGCTCAACTTGTGTATCTTGCGTTGAACTGAATTTCAATTTGTGATGGCCAGTTTGTGTTTCTTCATTTTCTACTGGGACCTAAGGCTGTGTCTTCATCTCTGGGTAGAGCTAGGACCTTATAATCAGAAAAGCTTATTCTAGGTATGGACTTTTCTCCTCATAGGAATTTCACTCCAAAGTCACTTATTGGGGCATCTTTCAGTGTGATTCTCAAGGTCACATGCGTTGTATCACATTACCAAGCTCACAGTAGCAGATGTGCGCACACTGCTGACTGTACCAGGTACCAGGCACCAGGCTGTGTTGGACTCACACCTTCTGCCGTAATCCTGGAGCTGGGCATGGCTCTTATTCCCCTTTCCTTTATTTGGCTCTGGCTTTTTGTTTTGTTTTATTTTTTGTTTCTCCAGTCCTGGGGATTGAGCCCAGGGTCTTGTACATGCTAGGGAAGTGCTCTACTACTGAGCTATACCTCAGCCCTTCAGGACTTCTGTTCTCAACACCACTGACCTCCCACAAGGGCAGGTGAGAGCAGAGCCTTCGGTGGGGATTTGAAAGGTGTGTGTGGTGAAGTGCTTTTCAGTGAACTCTTATCCTGAGAAAGTCTTGAGGACAAAGAAGGAAAGCCAAGACGGCAGAATCAAGAAAGGTCCAGTCACTGCTTGGAATAGAGCCTTGTGCCTGGGGAAACCTAGTGGGTGGGGAGGGACCCAAGACTTGAGCAAAATGCAGCTGCGGCCAGGTTGGCTGGCTCCTCTAGGTCAGGATCCAGGACTGGTGCCTTTAGGTGCCTGGGACTGAGTCAGCGGGTGACAGCTAACTGAGCCTGCGGCAGCCTACAGGCTGTGACTAAATTAGGAAGAGGAGCCCTTGGGTGCTCCTGGGAACTCACCAGGCAGGTAAGCCATGGCAGGGCCTCTGGTGGACAGCTGGAAACAGCTGTTCTGATGCATCTGACCAGATTGCACTTTGGCTCTTTGATGGGCGGTAGAACTGCCGCACATTACTTGGAGTGTAGCCCAGCTCCAGGCACCTCCCTGATGTTAGTGCACTGGTGGGTGGTGAGGGGCATGATCTGTCCACCCCTCCCCTCCAAGGGTCTAAGTAGAGAATCTGGTAAGCTTTCATCACTAAGTCCTTCATAAGCTCTTGGGCAAGCTGTGCCTTTTAAGAAGCATACTCTATTGAATCATTTTGGGGAGAGGATTATAGCAAGCACAAGGCATCACCCAAGAACATCAAGCTGCCCCAGATGGGACAAACTGGGTTGACATTTGCTTTATGTAACCTGACAATGAGGTATCTGTGACAGCAGGTTTTCTATTAGAAAATCACATGGAAGTGCACCTTGGCTTGCTGGTTTAAGTGTGATATCTGGAAAAAGAAAAGTTTTTTACAGAACTGACAAGAGAATGGTACCCCTGGAAAGGCAAGGGAGAGGTCTGCATGTGAACTATGGAAAAGGCCAAGTGCATCCTTTGACCCCGCTTCTTCCCAGAGAGGGACTTCTCGGTGCTCTTTTCCTTTCTTTTTTATTTTCTTCTCCCCTCCTCTTCCCTCGCCTTCCCCCTCTCCCTTTTGTGTTGTATTTTCCACCTAATTGGTTGAAAGCCTTAGCCGCAAAGCAGTTTCTTCACTGCAACACCATAAATATTATGGAAAGCCCTCTTTGCCCAGTAGATGTCAGTTGCACCCTGCCTACCTCCTACTTTAGACAAAATGTCCCTGGCATTCCCCAGGGGCAATGTCACACCGCAAAACACATACGCAGCCACTGTGTAATGCAAAGGAGAGCCCATTTTTCCTACTGAAAGGCATTGAGTTACCCCTGGGCCAGTGAAGTGGTGATCTTCTCACTCCATCTGTTCCACAAAAATAAAATACAAAAAGGGGTAGGGGGTGCAGGAGGGGTGCTGGTTGAGTCAGTTTCTCAGTGCATTGCTAAAGGTTCTTGTGCATACCTTCGGGACCAAATTGTCACCTGTGAAATCCAGACTAGCAAACAAGCAAGCAAGCAAGTTAAAAATAAATTGCCAATACCCAAAACAACAAAATAAGGAGGTGGAGCAGGCCAGGAGGTTTTGGAATTTTCTGAAAAATAGCCAGAACGGTTAGCCTCAGACTCCCTCCTCCTGAACGTTCTCAGGAGAGCTCCTGGCCTGGAGCTGGCTTGGGTGTTGATACTCAAAAAGGCTGAGAACATGTGGCATAAACATGGACTGATATTGTTTGCCATTTGCACTCAGCATGTGTAATGCAGCAGGAATGGCTCCTGGGGCATGTGACTCCCCGTCCAGACGGGTATGCAGTCCCTGGGACCTCTCTCTCTCTCTCTCTCTCTCTTTCTCTCTCTCCCCTTGCTTGAACCCCGCCTTCCTGCCCCTTCCCAGACTTGGGAGAGTGTAAGTGGAGGCTTGTCATGATTGGCATGCAGAAAGCTGGTAGAATGTTGTTGGAATTTTCTAGGGAGGCACATGCGCGACACCCAAAATGACTCCCAGCTCCGGTGGCCGCAGGTCAGCGCTTCTTGCCAGGCGCCCTGGTCTGTTTCAGAAAGGTAAGGTTGCATGACGCCACCCTACCTTTCCCCAGCCCAAGGAGGAAATGAGGAGTTTCTTTTACTTTTCCCAACCAGGAGGCACTGCTGACCATGTTCTTGGCGCTAAGCGTTTGTGCATGAGTATGCGGTTTGTCTGTCTCTCCACCCCCTCCTGTTTAAAAGAATTTTAATAAATGATTCACAAAGGCTGCTTAACATGTGACCTAGAATAGCACCTCATGACCCCAGTGAAATCGGCAATCCCAATGTCAGTAAGTTTAGATGCTCTTTTTACGCTGGTTACTAAACTCTTTTATAAAGAAAAGTCGCGCAGCTACGGGGGAACAGATTGCCTTATCCCCAGATCGGAGGGACGGAGTGGGACATATTTAGAATCCCGAAACCCTATGAATGGTGGGGGTCTCTTAGAATGTTAATCGGTGGATGTTGTCTTCGATAGAAAGTGAATGTAAGTGTGTTTGAATTGTTGTATCTGTTGACGGAACAATCAGACTCATTCTGAACCGGGAGGGGAATACTGAGGTCAGATTCCCGAGCAGTGTTTAAAGCAAAGAATTCATTAAGAGGCAGCACTTCCGAGCACTCAGGTTGGCTGGAATATAAATTTTAGCAACTCTTAGGTATCTTTAGGGAAAGTTAAAATTTTTCAACAAAACTACTTTAATAATCTCCAAGCAAGCAAAGGTTCTAAACTTCAGTAGTGAGGTTCGAAGACATATTTGGAGTCTCATGTGATGATGTGGTAGCAGGCTCAAGCACAACCAAACATGACTCACCTCATTTTTTTATCTGCTGCAATTTAAAGTAGCTTTGATACATGCAGGAGAGGAATACCGGTTTTCTGTTTGCAAGCGTGCTAAAGAAGCAAGCCCAAACTCTTAAAAGTGGTGTGTATGGTGGATCTTATATCGCGGAAATTTGTTTAGCCTTAAGAAAAAGTCCATGTTGTAGCTTTGCTCTTGGTTTCTGCCTAACATGTATTAGAAATTTTTCTTTTCTGTCTTTTTTTCTCCCCACGTCTTTGCAAAGATGTCATAAAACTGAGAGGGGGGAGAGTTGATATTTTCACACACTTGCCCCTCCCCCACAGGCATACACTAACAGCTGCCACGTATGGTTTTGTGGAATTTGATATTTTGAACAAAATGACTTCCTCGTTTTCCATAGTAATATAATAATCAATTTTACCATAGAGGACTGTGTACATGTCAAACCTTGGCTGCTCCTAATTAGCAATGCCTGGGGTGGCAGGGAAAGTGCCGGAGAGCAGTTTCAAGTGAAAAATCAGCCTTTATGTTTTAGCCATGCTGGCTTCGGCCAACGCAGATCTCAGTCTGCCTGGATCTTAAGCACAAGTTCAGTTTGCTGTATTCTGACAAAATATCAAAAATGCATGGCCACATGTAACGGAGACGGACCAGAACGTCTAACTGTTACAACTTTGTCTTTTATCTCCACTCTGCAGAAATTATCATATGACCACAGCTTTACAAGATAAAGAAAAGAGCCAGAAGTAGTCTCCGTGTAATAGTCTCTGCTTTGGGGGGACACCTGGGTCTTACTGGCTGTAGTCAGAAAGGGATGTGTCCTAAGACGCAGAGATTTCCATTCACTTTGAGAAACGGATACTTTCTCAATAAATAGTTATATGGTTTAGGTATAAAGTCCCAGCTTTAATGTTCTCATTTAGTCTAAGGAATTTAAAAGAATTGAACAGTGCACAATCCCTGCACAGAGAGAAACATATATATCTTGGACTCCATGCGGGAAGAGCATGTTCTGCTAAAATCTGCGTTCCCATATGCTTAGAGACAGTCGTAAATCCAAGTCAGTTGAACGGTATATGTCCATTGCTTCTAATTTGCCCGGCGCTGAGCCAAGCAGGTACTTGGGAGTTCGAAAGAATTTTTCCTCTCGGTTCCTCTTCTTCCTTCCCTCCTTCCTTGCTTTTCTTTTTTCTCTCCTCTTCTTCCTTCCCTCTCTCTCTCCATTCCCTTTTTTCTTTTGTTTGAACTGTGGATTAAACCCAAGGTCTTGCACATGCTGAGTAAATGCTCTACCACTGAGCTTCATGCTCAACATTTATTTGTTCCTTTGCTTGAAACAGAGTCATGCTAAATCACCTCGGCCAGCCTCAAGTGTGCAATACTTCTGCTCCAGCCTTTCAAGTAGCTGGGATTACAGGCGTGTACCTCTGTGTGGAGCAAGTCTGAAAGATTTTAGGATGTTAAGGTGCACATAATTTAGATGACATAAGTCCTCCCCTAGCAAACCTCACCTGGCTTTCTGCAGCAGAAATTGTATGTGTACTCTGGGTGACATCTTGAGAAACACATATACACACACATTTTGCATTTAATTTCATGAAAAGTGCCTCACTGTAGCTAAGAAATATTGATTTCCCAATCTGCTTATGACCATCTGTGGATCTGTACAACTTTTAGTGTTTATTCTTCAGGGTAATTTAAGACAAATGATCATGTTCTTTGGAGTGACTCACGGGACCCAAAGTAATAAAAAAAATAGATTCTGTTCCTTGATAGATGGTGACACTCAGACCTTGCTTTACATTAGTTCTTCTGGGAAGCTATCAAAAACCTCAAAGCCCGAATTGAATCAGAAGTTTTACAACTTTGCCTTTTATCTCCACTCTGCAATAATTTTCATATGACCCAAGCACAAGATTTTTTTAAAACTCCCAAAGTGGTACCAAATTTGAAATGTAGCAATATTGATAATTTTGTCAAAATCTGGTCATTTGTTTTTTAGTTTAGACCTTCTAGGGTGGGTATGGGAATGAACTTTTTCCCGATCTTGACATTGTGCTGCTGAGAAACTTTGGGCCTTCTGCAGCCCACACTGTGCTCTGCTGAACTCTGTGAACGAAGCTGTACTTTCTTTGTGGTCAACACACCTGATTAATCAGTTAACCAATCAAATTATCTAAGGTTTCTGAACCTTGAGTGTTTTTATTCCAGGAGTCCAAACATTACCGCAGATGTTGATTTAAACTTGGGAAGGAAGGTGGTTATCAGATTAATTGTACGTGTCTTTGGAGTCATTTTTGTGGGGTCTGAAACTCCCATGGAAAGGGAAGCCCCCTCTTGGTGTACTGGGTAGCTGGGAGATGGAAATACAGGTGTCACTAAATCCTTACAACTCACCATAGACGGTTAGAATCGTAAAGTATTTTCAAGGTGTTCTGCTTCAGTGATTCTCAAAGCGAAGCATCGGCATCACCTGGAGTGATCAGAATGCAAAGTCTGAGGCCTTTCCCCAGATGTTCTGAGTCAGAAACTGAGCATGCGCCCACCACTTGTGCTCTGAGAAGCTCTCCTGGTGTCCCTCGAGTTTAAGAACCGCTGCTTTTAGTTTTCTTTCTTTCTTTCTTTCTTTCTTTCTTTCTTTCTTTCTTTCTTTCTTTCTTTCTTTCTTTCAAAGATAAAAAGAACAAAAACATATTAACAGGCACACAGACATTTACAAAATAACACAAAAACAGTATAAGCAATACAGAATTTCACACAAGGTGATAGGAAATTAACAATGGTTGTTGTATTACATATTGATATCTTCAAATTGGTTACTCAGATAAACAAATATAGGCATGTAAGATTGATCAAACAATTAAACACTAACTGTTCCTTTCAATAAAGCAATAGAAATCAATAGTACAACTACCTTAGCTATCCTGTGTGTATATGTATATGCATATTTTTCCCTGCTTTCTTTCTTTTCTCTTTTCCCTCACCCCAGTTGTTCTTTCCTTTTGAGCAGTTTCTTTCCCTTCCACAATATCAGTCCTTTCACAGTGTCCATTTACAACTGCACTGTTGAGTTATATGGAGGCTGAGTAATCCCTGTAAAGTTGCCCTGCCCTAGGGGAAGGACAAGGCCTAGAAACAGAGATCTCTCAGACCTGAACTCTCTGACGTGTACTTCTGTACCAAATCATCCTAACATTTCCGTGTGTCACAAATACTGCTTTAAGAGGCCGGGGATATAGCTCAGCGGCACAGCGCCTGCCTGGCAAGTGTGAAGTCATGAGTTCAATTCCTGGCACACACACGAAAAATACTGCTTTAAGAGAATGCTCATCATCCTAAAATCATAAGGCATTAAAGAAACTGCAAATGCTATCTCATCAACCCTCCCATTTTACAGGTTAGAAAACTAAGATCCACAGGGTGAGCCAGCCTCAGTAAGATAGAGAAGGGAGACTATTAGAGGAGAGGAAGGGGTTTGAAGAAGGTAGATATCAGCAAAGTGTGCTATATGAAAATGTCACAGTGAAACCCATTATTCTGAATAATTAATGTGTGCTAATAACCCCGCCTCATTACGGGTGTCAGACTTGACAGAAGTAGGTCTATTTACAACCCAAACCTCTCCCAATCCCATTAGCATTGATTGAGAATTTTCATTTAATCTGAAATGTTATCGTAATTTAAAGTTGGCTTGAATTTTGTAGCTATGCTTCTGCATTTGCTAGAAAAAGATCTCAGCAGTGGCCAATACTGCAAAGCAAATTGAGAGGACTCTGGGGCCCTTCCGCTTCCGCTCAGAGTCATGTGGAATGGACACACCTCCTCAGGTCATGGGCCGGAATGGCATCTTCCGATTTAGCTAAAAGGAAAAATGTGACCAGTCTGTTTGGTGAACACTGTGCAATTTTACAGCTAGTGTGGTTGGTGGTATTTACAAAATTTTGACAGCGTTCAAAGACTGAATTTAATCTGCATTCTCTGCACAGCTTCGTCTTTCGAAATGTTGTGGCAACACGTGGAAAACAAATTGAAAATGTGAGACACGACTGGTGTATCTACCTACACACGCTCACGGAGCAAATGTGTTCATGAGCAGAAAGAATTATTGATCCCCCATATCCACCCAGTACCAGCGCTGTGACAGGGGGAAACACATGGTCTCTGCTTTCAAATGATCATGGGACGGTGGGAAAATAAGACTACGGGTGAAGGAGCCAGTTGTCAGACAGG